CGTACCACAGCGCGACGTCGGCGTAGCTCAGCCGCGCGCCCACCAAGTGGCCGTTGTCGCCGTTGCGCTCGAGCAGCCTCTCAAAGCTCGGCAGCTGCGCCGGCAGGGTCTCCCCGACCAGCTTCTGCTTGGCCTCGGCCTGTTGGTCGGCCGGCGTGCCAAAGATGACCTTGGCGATGGCCGTGAACGTGTCGGCCACGCCTTCGTTGGCCTGGTCGATCAGGGCCGCCTCGTGGGGGCTGGCCCCGTTGTAGCCGTGCTTGCGGGCCAGGTGGCGCGCGATGGCCGAGCTCTGGACCAGGGTCAGGCCATCGGGCTCCTCGTAGAGCGGGACCTGGCCGAATGCCAGCTTGCCCGCGGCGGTGAGCCGGGCCTTGGCCTCGGGCCAGTTGGTGACCGGCACGAAGTCGTAGTCGACCCCGGCGTCCTCCAGCAGCAGGCGCGTCATGTCGCCCCTGCCGAACGCGTTGAGGTAGGTGAGAGTGGGCTTGGTCACAGTGCTCGCCATCGTGTTGCGATCGATCGTGGTCAGTGTTAGGTTGTTGGTGTGTTGCAGTTGCTCCGCCGGAGTGTAAAGGTCGTGCTTTCCCACTGTTTTCTTGGCCCAAAAAAGCGGCGGTTATTTCCTTTTGGCGCAAAACAACTTTATGTGTTCACTCGCGATTGGCGGCGCAGTTAGTGAAGAAAGGCGACGCTGTCCTTAGTAGCCGCCATCGCACTCGGGGCAGCACTTGCGGTGGTCGGGGCAGCACTCGCCGGCCTTGAGGTACTTGCCGTGCTCGTCCGGGTAGCAGCCCTGTGCGTCGGCGTAGAACACGCCGCAGTCGAGCTCGATCGGGTAGCAGCCCTGGGCGTCGCGGTAGCGCCACTCGCGGCCCACCTTGCGCGGGCAGCACCCGTGGCCGTCCTTCCACTGACCGCCGGGGCACTTCTTGTCGTCCTCGCACGGCTTCTCGGTCGTGGTCTTGCGGCACTCCTCGGTCGTCGTGGTATGCCTCTTCGTCGTGGAGGTCTCCTTGGGGCACTCCTCCGTGGTGGTGTGCTTCTTGGTCGTGGTGGTCTCCTTCTTGGTGGTGGTCTTCC